TGTGTGTGTGTGTGTGTGTGTGTGTGTGTGTGGGTGGGTGTATGTGTGTACGAAAGCGAGTGAACTTTGTCACCCACTTTCAACTCAGAAACCAGGAAAGTTGGGTGGCTGAAATTTTAATGACATATTCCCATTTCATGTGTTAAACTACCGTCTTAAAATCATCGCTCATAAGCGTCTAGATCTCACGTACGGAGCCACGAAAACATGCATATTTCTTTGGCGGAGAATTTTTTTGTGAACCAGACAAGATAGAAAGCTGAAATTTTTGCATGGATATTCTCTGTGCGTGTATGAGCTAAAGATTTCAAATTGAACTATTATGCACGCTTGTACCGGTCGTACGACCATGCCAAAGTTCATTGTTGATATTGTGCCAACTCGAAAACTAGCCGAGGAGGAGTTTTCTGCATGAACCATAGTACACGTAGAAAATCGTTTACCCACACTGAGTTTCAGATTGCACCTGCACTTCAAAGGCATTTGTAACAAAATGGCTATTTCGCCTACCGAACAAGCTCCGAGGCTGAGACTTTGCAAAGATATTCCCTACTGTATGATGTTCTTAATTCAGCTTGAAAGTTAAATTCCCAACAGGCGAAAATGAAAAATACCGAGTTTTATCAAAAATAATCAGAAGCGAGTCCATTTTGCGAATTTATTGATCCTTTCCCGACTTCCTTCAAATCTGCACTTTTTTGATAACCGTTCACGAAAAAACGACCGAGCCTCATGCGAAAAATTGATAACCATGCACAATCAAGGTTCATGTGACCTCACAGTACCACTATCCCAACTGTATTTAAGAAATTGTTAATGCACAGCCAACACTATTAAACTATATAAAGCAAGAACGATTTGACCGCTGCAATTCTTGCAACGCATAATCGTGTCGGCAAGCCTGCTGCATTCCATCCTGGGTTGTTCACCAATAAACAAAAGCGCATAAAAAATATTAACAGCTCGCATCGTAATAGCCGGTTTTTACGCAGTTATGTGAAACAGTTTGATCCTTAGCAGTGCGGATATCCACTGCTTCACAGTTTGTGCGGATGCTCTTTATGTGCTTCTGCAAGTTAATACCAAGTATGAACGTTTTTCTTGTAGCACGTCGACGCCTACGAGTAGGAATGCAGTGTCGATAAGCCCTGACGAGGAACGGATAAAATCAGTTGCAGTTGCGGCAGCAGCAACAGCAAATCCTGCGGTTTCTCTGGCCAGTATGTCGAGCTTCGCACCAGTAGTAAATAGCGGCAGTGGTAACCCAGCTGCTGCCACCGCGACAGATCTCACCTGTCTCATGTTCAGTGGTTTCCAACAAATGGCCGCTGCTAACTATATGCATGAATTGCGTCGGATGATTACGATGGAGAATTTGACACAGCATTATTCCGGCATTTGGCCTGGTGTCGGCCCGGCCGCTACCACAACTCCATTCGCTGGTGCTGGATCCTGGCCAGATGCTCAGCATATGCTAGGTTCTGTAATTTCCAACTCTTCTGCCATTACTGTGGGCACTGCGTCTACTACCGATGCTTCATCAACAACAGGGCCATTAGGCAATTTGACGAATTCAAAAGAGAGCCCAACAAAGAAATCGACATAAATTTGTTACGTGTTTTTTGCACCTATGCAATGTAAAAACGCATGCTGTGGAGGAAATCATTGTAATAATTTCTGAAAATCGTAGTAGCCGATCTCAGTCCTTTTGGCTAAAAGCACCTGCTGGAAAAAATCATTGGCGACTCACACCGTGTGGGCTCTTGCGATCGTGCGTTTTTGCAGCATCTCGTGCTATTGTAAGATCGCTTGGAATCAAAATAGCTAGAATTTATGACATATTTTTCATCGAATTTCAAGAAATTAATCTTACAACTAACACGCATACTTGGAAAGGGAACATTGTGTTAAAATTCAGGCTTTCCAGTTTTTCTGGTTCCCGAGTTGGCAATTTTCCAGCTAAAAAATTTTGTGGAACCACGCGTATCGAAGGCCGAATTAAAAATCTCTGAGTTTTGAATGGGCAAGAAATATACACTCAAAATTTCAGCTTCCTAGCTTTTCTGGTTCCTGAGTTAGTGAATTTCCTCTCCAAAAACATTCACGGGCTGTAAGTGGAAACCACGTGTGCCTGGGGATGAA